GTTACGTAATTCTCAGCATACCTTATACAACTTTGAAAGCGCCTACAGCTCGGTGCGCACAGATTTTTCTCGTCCCCTCTTCGACAGAGAGAGAGAGAGAGAGCGAGAGAGAGAGAGAGAGAGAGAGAGAGCGAGAGGGAAAACTAAAGGCTTTACACTCAGAAATTTAGCCACCATCAAAAAAGGAGGTTACAAATGAGAAAAGTCGAGTCCACGTTTTTAAATTTTCAGCGCGGACATCATGGATAATTTTATTTAATTTGAATAAATTAGGTCAGGTCGATTTAGTCATATAATTTAATGTTTATTTATTTATTATCAGTAATTGACTTATTCGTTTATAGTGTATTTATGTAAATATTTATTTATTTTTGTAGTATATAACGAATTATAAAAAGTGAGTTCACAAGTTAGGTGGACGAGTGGGACTATGTCCTCTGCATTATTTGTAAAGGAGAAACATATTTAGGATTCCAATTTAATCGATAACAATTAATGTTAAAAATAAACAACACCTAGCCTTCCTTAAGCGAAATCTTTAGGCAGGCAGGGCCTCATGAAGGTATTAGGTTAAAAAGTCTCTGTTCCAGAGCCAAAATTTTATTTGCGCGGCCGCCGGTATCGACCCCGCCTAAGTTATGGGGGGATAGGCAAATTTAAAAAAATTGTAGTAATTCTATTACTAAAGTTTATCGAAAAATTGAGCAATTATTAAAGATTTAATACTTATTATCAGGATTTAATAGACTTATTAGAGTAGCCCAGTTAAACAATTTAATCTGTTTGAGTAGCCCAGTTATACAATTTAATCTGTCTATCAGCGAATTCTAGTTACTTGATTTGATGGTTCTATTTCAAAAGTTAAGTAACAATGGTGAGTACTTTTACATAAGTTGAGTTAAAGTTGAATTCTGTTTCAGCATTACCGAATTTAAGTACCTGAATATATTAAAGAGATTTTTTGCCTTACTGCTGAATATCTTAACTTTGTAATTTTTCTTCCATCTTGCAAAATGTAGTGTCAAGTGGCAGGATTAGATACGGATCTTTTAGAAATTTCCATTTGTGAAACCGGAACGGTTACCTGGGGGAAACTATTCCGACCAACACAGGTCGAAACTTTCCTATGCCAAATTTACTTTTCTGAGAGAGGATTTTAATATGTTAGTGGTGATGTTATAAAGGTCCATTACTGGGCTTGGGTTCAGGCCTTTTTGTTTATCAGAAGGTTGTGATAAACGTTATCCTGTGATAGTTGTGTAAAAATGAGGCTGACAGTCAAGCAGGCCAGATACAAAATATGGTCTTTTAACAAAGGTTGAATGTTTTGTATATAGTTTACGTAATTGGCATAATTTCCGTTTATTTAATATTCTTTTTTCCGAGAAGGCGGATCTCTGGTCCGTTCGTTTTCGCGGTTATCGAAGTCACTGTGCAACATCTTTGCGAAAAGAAAAAGCGAGACATCACGTCGCCTTCAGTGTTGATTTCGATCGAGATATTTTTGACGACTTTTTTGCATGACGATTTTCGACGTTTTTCCCTTCCTTTTTTCATCCCGGAAGCGGAAATGGGATACAGATCTAGATTTTCAACCGCGACGGCCCAGAATTGTGTAAAACGTTTGCGCTCGGATTATTGCCCCGAAGACACAAAAACAATTAAAAAATAGCTTTCCGCAATCTCATATTTTCTCTGTTTCACGGAAATACATTGAATCATGGCTATGTGGCTATAAACTAACCTAACTTTAATTCTACCTAATCCAAACGTTACTTAACCCAGCCCTAATCAGGATTAGGACCATATCGTACCTAACCTACCTTTATCTCTATGTAATCTCTCTCTAATTATTGTTAACCATGTTGAACCGATCCAGGGCCACTTACTGGGTCTGTCCCTTGCCGTTCAACTTGAGTTTACCGACTCGCAGACCAAAATCCATCATCAACTCTTTTCCTAACTTTACTTAACGTAACCCTAATTAAGGTTAGGATCCTGTCTAACGTAACCTAATTTTAACTCAACTTATTCCTATCCTTAACTTTATTAACGGAACTCTAATCTTAACCATTCCTAACCTAACGCAAACCAACCTCACCTAACCTTAACTTACCCAATCGTAACTCTATCTAGCCTAGTCATTCTTAAAGCGAAATTGATGGTCGAAAATGGTCACGCAAAAAAATATGTACCTGGCCACAAAACATATCCATGTTAAAATTAGAAAATCTAGTCAATCTGTATTTCCTTTTTTACAAAGTCGACTTCGCTCACAATTCGTCGCAACTCCATGATCAAAGTGCTTAAACAGGTTTTCCGCAAATCTTAGCCCTCAACGAGTTGAAGAGTCCACTGACCCCGATGTCAACCAATAAAATTAGTTTAAAATGATAAACCACTCACTATAAGGACATTTTGAAGTATTTATATTCCATTGTGTTCAAAACCCTCGAAAAATGTCATTTTTAAAAATATTTGATAACACTTAAATTAAAAAAACCTGTTCGAGCCACACTTGAAATCTATATTTTAATGGCATTTTAAATCCTCGATCAACATCACACCACTTTTTATTTGGCGAGGGTCAAAATGTATCTATTCTTTCAAGCGAAGAAGGCAATGACTTCGTTGGTCATTGACCATTCTGATATTATCAGGGGCTACGAAAAGCTATTTACATAAGGGAGATTCATAACATTTTTGGGTTTTTTATTAAACCATCTTGGATGTGTTGATGTTAAAAAAATGATTTATAATTGATTGTAAATTACATCGGTAGTGATTTTAGGCGTGCTGAAGATCCTCGATTTTTGGATACAATGCTAAAACTGGCTGCGCAGCCGGCCAACCCTGAAGTCCCGTGACTCACATTACTTTTTGTTTTTGTTTACATTTTTATTCTCATGTGTATAAATAGCCTGATATTTATTATCCGCAGCCTTCAAATCAAATTCACTCGCAATTTTTACAAACGGATAAACAGGCGGCGTGACAATGCGCTATCGACCTAGGGAGGACTTGGAAGTGGGCCCACCTTCATTTTTTTGAGTAGATGGACATTTTTTTTTAGTGACATGGAGTCACTCTGTTCGTTCGTAATCAACAGTCTTTTAACACATATTTGGCAATATTTGTGTGAAATTAAATTAACTTAAATTTAAACATTTTCCTTTAGATTACACAACCAACACCAAACACCACCACTAATTACATAACAGCAGTAAAAAAACGAGTTATTGGCAAAAATACCCTGATATCTTCAAAGTATGCCAAATAGTCCGCAGGTTTAATAGTATTATTTTACAAATCGCGATCAATTAAATAGTTACTAGCATTATACAACAGTCAGCAAAACGAAATGATATTGGAGTAATGTACTTACAGCTTTCTTCGGAACAAATGCAGCTATTTATAACGGAACGATACCCGGTTTTAGTCAACAAATATCTCTACTTCCAAAAGAACACTAGGTCAAATAATCAGTGAATATAGTAGTATTTTTATGTACGCTAACATAAAATATAAATTTGATCATTTGGAGACCGTGAGGGAGCGGTCTGGTGTGACGTAGGTTTTAGAAAAACATTTTCTTTATCATGCCAACGTTTCGATATTTATTGAAATCATCTACAGGGCTCAAAGTGTTTTTTTCCGTGTAGATGTGTCATTCTTGTGTGACGTGTCGGCTTTTCTTCATTTTCAGTGTCCCGACTGATCAAACTAGCAAGGATGGACATGCCAATCGAAAACGATCGAACCGCAATTATCTTTGGGGTGATGGATCTGTAGATGGGTTGTTTCCCATCGTTTTGGTCTGTCCGTTTTCGCTGTTATGATCAGTGGTCGTGTTTCCTCTTCTGGCCAGTTTTAGTTTCTGAGAGATGAAAACAGCAAAAATAGGCATACAGAAATTATCGTAAACGAGCAAACAATTGTCTACTTGGACTGTTGGGTGATGGACCTGTAGTTTTGTCATTTCCTGGTCTGTCTCTCCTTTTTTTCTTTTTTCTTTTATTTTCAGTCTTCAGAGATAACAAACTAGCATGTAGTATACCAAAACGTACGTAAACGAAAATTATTTTAGGGTCTGCGGCTGGTGACCAATCTGTACATTGGTGGCTAGCTATTAATGATGACTAATTACGAATAAAATAATTTTTTGTTTAACTTGTATCCCAGCCAATCGTTATGCGATATCGTCACGTCGGGCGTCTTTATTATTGTGTTTCTAAACCAGATAATCCCAAAGGGGATATGCCATTGCGTCAAATCAGGTCAATAATTCAATTTAATTCGACACTTCCTTTCTAAATATTCAGAGGTTAGTTAATATACCGAGAATCGGGTCAAAATCGCCGTATTGTCCTGTTTGGCCTTTAGCATGTCATCAATATTGGCTCGGCCCCCAAGAGGGGGGGTTAATATTAGTACAAACAATTTAAACATTTATCTTTTTAATGATTCACGACAAAACAAAGCTATCACATGTTTATCAGGTTTGAACGTTTTTCTCTTGTGAAGTTAAACCATCGGTGATAATTGAAATGGGAACGCAAACAGATACTGCGTTTTTCTCCAGTATGACGTAAGGAGAAAAAATGGGAAATAAATTTATGCTTAAATGGATCAATAAATTTCGTCATTTTTGCCCGAGGAAAAACACTCTGTGTCCAACTGGAAAACAGCCCAGAAGTTGTCTTAAACTTAAGATCTAACCATGGTCAATAATAATTAGCGTTGCGAATAATAATTAATGTTACGAAATAATAGAACTGGCTCTCAATTTAAGTATTAAGTTTCTCACAGACCTGTTTCCGCATGGCTTCCCCATAGTCTGTTCTGTTAACTCGACTAACACACTTTATTATATTTTGTATTAAGTACATAAAGAAATTGTTAAACCAATCTGTTTAGGATTTATGAACCATGAAACCCGACCTTCATTTATTTTTTCTTATTGTTCTTCTTAACTTTAGCCTTTTGTTTATTGATTACAGAATCGTGGGTGGAAGTGGGTCCGAGTCCTGAACGGACCACTCCCTTGTCCTTTGCTCCGACAGAAGAATACCTTAGGCTTCTCAGGGAAGCTCAAAGGGAAAGCAACCACTCCTCGGCTAGAGTCAGCTTGGCTTCTTCAAAAAAAGGAAGGTAAGGGATTCATTTTTAAGTTCAACTTTGCCCTATTTAACTTCAATGCCAAACAACAAAAATAAAACAATTACGACTTTTAAATTACAAGAAGCACTCGTAGCTGCCTTAGTCGATAAAACACCGTGACCATGAATTTCTTATCTACACGTAGATAATTATTTTATCGATAATGTAGGCGAATGTGTGAAACATGAATATAAATAAGGAATACCTTAAATGCTGTTTTAACCAGAGAAAATCACTATTGAAGATTTTTCTTTTACAATTTAAATTTTTCCAACTCTGAAAATTGGCCATCAATACAAAATAGAAGTAAATGAACGCCATTATTCGACGATGATGAAGATACTAGGAATGTTCTCCCGTGGCAATGCAGCCTCCTGACTTATTGTACCTTCCTAGTTCAGTGCAATCGACTCAATTCTTCTTCTCAGAAGTATTAGCTCATTTCATTGACTATTGCTACTACAATTCCATCCCCGAGGTTTTTTCTCTATGCTAGGTTATGTCTCCACTGAGCCGTAACTTCGCATTCGAAGGTGATATGGTTGGCTGTTTCTAAATCCTCATTACATAATCTGCAAATTGGATCATCATTATATATGCCAATAATTTGTTTTTTATTATTCCAAGTATAGGTTCAGGGCCTATGTATGGTCTTGCATATCCTCCTCTGCCCAGTGTCTGCTTTTTCTTTATCCAAAATTCCTTCGTGTCCTGGCACCCAAGATATAATCAGGTTTTTCTGTTTGCCCATGCTTTGGTGATTTTGGCTGCATTCGCCGACTAATTTATTATTTAGAATTTTGCTATGAATATCTTTTATCTGCCGAATCAGCCTATCAGTCATGACGGAAAAACATATTTAAGACAGACATGATCTTATGGTTATTAAAAGTGATGAAATACTATCAGCAGAAAGTATTAGATTACAACATATGTAAATTGTATAAAAAAACAAAGGCATTGCTTCTTCACTAGAGCTAGAGAAAATACGGATCATTAACCAACCTTACGGACGAGTGAAATTGTGTAAACCTTTAATAAATCCCATCGAAATCTGCTGTATCAGCAAGAGTAGGTGTAGGTACTGTGTCTTGTTAGAATACCACGTAGTAGAAATGTGGTGTTTAGTGACCGTTAGTTAATGATTATTGGGAGATCGTGAAATGCTGTCTGGTGTGAAGTAAGTTTTAGAAAAACATTTTGTTTATCGTGCCAACGTTTTGATCTTTAATGAGATCATCTTCAGGGCTTAGTAAAGATCGAACCTTCACTAGTTTTCGGGTTCGCTTGACCAATTAATATCTTCCAATTAATTAAGGTTTTTAGATGAGATAAAAAAGCAGTGTCATGAGCGGGATTCGGGAACACACGACCTTCGGCTAGATACGCCGATACTCTACCACTTGAGCTATCGTGACTTCAAGTGAAGAACTGACTTTTTTATCTCAACTAAAAACCTTAATTAATTGAAATAGATCGAAACGTTGACGCAATAAAGAAAATGTTTTTCTAAAACTTACGTCACACCAGACCGCATCTCACTATCTACCAATAATGATACCACGTAGTGTTGTTTAGCTCGGACAATAAGATGTTGACAATATTTTGCACCAATATTGTTAGAAATGAAAATACCTGGAACGACCATGCCCTCTGATTATCAAAAGTCACCAAGGAGGTAAAAACAATTGTTACTTTCATACTACATATCTCCATTTCTTAAGCTTCGTCTGGTGTATCTCTCATGAATTCCCTCTTCAATATCTCTCACTCACTCTCTCTCTTTCTCTCCCTCTTTTTCTCTCCCTCTCCCTCCCTCCCTCTCCCTCCCTCCCTCTCTCTCTCTCACTCACTCACTCACTCACTCCATCCCCTTCCAATTATCTAATTACGCTCTACCCCTCCTCGCCTGTGGTACTACCAATAATTTTACAAATTTGGATAACTGGAATATATTTATAATTTCTACAGATATTACCAATTCGATACAAAGTACAACTTATTCTGCCTTATCATGACCTCATCGTATAGTATGATAAAAGTATTAATCATACATCACATACGTTGTACAAAATCTATAATGGCAAACATTTTGCTGTCTGTTTTACATTCACCCCAAAACAAAAGAAACGCTCTCAATGCCGAATCGAATTAGAATTTTCGTTTTCTCTTTAACGATTCAATTAATCCATTGTTCAAATATTTATAACACTACTGTTTTATTAAAGGCAACCTTCGCCATACGGTTTATTCCGATTGTGTAACGCTTTTTTTGTGTTTTCGTCGATTATAGTTTCGGCCTTTAATTTATCAACATTTTCTGACAAAATTAGCTGAAATCTGCATGATCCGAATGCGGTTATCACTGAAAACGGAATACTCTAGAAATCGGTTCATCTCGGCTTATTAACGACTACCGGGAATATCGATTGTGTTCAATCTGCGAGCTGCTTTCAACTGACTAAGAATAAGATTTTGTTGACCGTCCTTCAACCGAACCCATCTCTTTGACCTAGAAGTGTTTTGACGTCAATCTGAGTTCAGAATTTCCAGATGATCGTCCGTAATAAACAGTTGGTTTCTTTACACCAACCTTCCGAATTGCCAATTACGGTTTTGCAACATACCGCCCAAATCAATGGCGAAGCATGTTAAACCAATTATTTACACAATTTTTATCTCTTTTTTTCCATATGTAAATTTCGTTTTTGGGGTAGCTAATAGAATAATGATATGGAGCTCATTGGGGCTCATTATCACATTGAAACGATAAAAGCAATCAATTTGACATCAAACATTTTTAAAAATTCGCTGAACCTTGGAAACAAGTACTTATGTTTTAACTAATCCTTTTTTTATTATTATCTTAGTAACTAAAAAATAATTCTCTCTCTCCCCTCCCCTCCCGCCTTCTCTCTCTCTCTCCCTCCCTCTCTCTTTATCTCTCTCTCTCTCCTCCCTCCCTCTCTTCCTCTCTGTTTATCTCCCTCTTCCTCCTATCCCTTTCCCCCTCTCCTCCTTCTCTTTCTCTCTTTTCTCTCCCTCTTTTTCTCCCTACCCTCCCTCTTCTCTCTTTTTCCCTTCCCTCCCTCTTCTCTCTTTTTTCTCTCTTTCTCTCCCTTCCCTCCCTCTTCTCTCTTCCTCCTTCTTCCCTCTCTTCTTCCTACCTTTTTCTCCCTCTCTCACACTTTAAGTAAGAGTAGTCCTAGAGACCAAACTTTGAGTGATTATGTAAAAATAAATCTCTTCTCAATGTCCCCTTTCCCTCTTTCTGTCTTCCTCTCAATATCTATCTCCAAAACGCTCCCGAAAAATGCTAATATTAGCAAAATATTCCTGTAGTTCCTTCTCATCCTCCTTCTAGTATGAAAAATGAGTAAGCGTTGCCATAAAGATTATCATAATAAATAACACTAATAAGTACAAAACAAGACGTCCTAACTTCAAACTTCTACAATCATATACAATACGTATTTATGAATCAATAAAACAAGGAAGAATATGTACAACGTTATCGATAAGCAAGCGAAATAAATATTACCAAATACCGTTAAACATAAAGCCTTCTCGACCTACTATACTAATAACTCATGGATATAATCATTAGCATGAAAATTACAATGATAAAACACAATAAATAGAAACCATGACGTCCTATGTTATCAAACTTCTACCATCAAATACAAGTAACGCAGAATACAAAAAGCCAACATCATGTAACCAACCGTCTTCGGTATGATGTTCTTAGGCACTCCTCACTGAAGGTGGCTCAAAGGTGATAACTCGTTTAATTGTCATAGAAACCCGCAAGTACATCGGCTCAATGAACGAGCCAATGCAAGATCAACTTGATTCCGACTCTTGTTTCCAAATTGGACATGCATTATCTCTTAATATTAATCAATTGTATCCTACACGTTGAAAATCGCACTATTATAATTAACATTAAGTCAACGTCCGTGGATCAATAATTATTTTTTTAAACCTTGGTATCTAATCTGTGTTTAATTTCGGGTACAAACTAATGCCTCTCAAACAAACAAAAATCGTTATAAAAAGTAAGGATATTTGATTATTATTGAACCTAAAAGTTGAAAAACTCTATTATCATAACTTGATAATATTTTTATTTGTATTCACTACGTTGTTATTAACATTTTAGTTTTTATCTTATTATCCACTCCATTTCATAGGCGGAGACAACCAAAAACACATTTTCATAAAAAGTATTTTTCTTTTAATTTACATAAATCCTTTTCGGGGTGATGTCCGCTCTCCCTCTTCAGCTTTTTGACTGACACTTTTTATGAAAGTGTGTTTTTGGTTGTCTCCGTCTGTGGAATAAAGCGAGTAATAAGATAACAAACTAAAAATTGAAGATATCCACTGTTGGCAACGATGACAATTGTTACATCATCTTTTTTCTCTATTAGGATGTCTTGTCTACTTGCCTATCACCATTTTCAATTAGCATATTTAATAATGTTATATAACTACTCTGCTGATTTTTTTTGTCTCTTTGGGTTTAAAAGAATCGTAACAGCGGGATAGGTCAGAGACCCTAAAAATGTTCTGTTTTTCCAAGCGTTTTTATTGAAACTTGTTGATACTAAAAATGTATTCTTTGTATAAAAGTTACTCCTCCGCCATTTATTGGCATTTATTACAGGTTTTGCAATAATGCCTCGAAATATTTCATATGTATGCCATATAGAAGGCGGGCTTAACTCATATACGGTCTTCATCGCAGTAAAGGATACTACGATGGAGTCAAATTTAAAATAAAAAAAGTCCCTAAAGGTACTTATTCCACACGTCGTTCTTTTCATGTTGGAACAGGTGAGAGGACGTGATGATGTCCTGCTCTCTCAAGGACTGTATTTTCGAAATACTTTTA